AGGGTTTAGGGTTTTGGGGGTTCCTGTAGGTAAGGGTTCTGTAAGGGTACTATAGGCTTCCGTGGAGGCTTCCGTTTTAGAGTTCTTCTATTGAGGGCTTTCCGCGAGGTTTTAGGTTTTTGTTTTGGGTTCTTGGGGTTTTGGAGTTTTTGGAAGTGTTCGGGCAGTGTTTCAAAGATTTAGATTTTAGGGCTTAAGGTTTGGAGGTCGTGGGCCTTCATGTCTGGGTTTCGGGGCTTGGGGGTTTAGGCATTCAGGGTCTTAGGCCTGCGTTCTAGGATTGCAGGGGTTCAGGGTCTAGGGTTTAGAGGTTTCACGCTTCGATGAACTCCCGAAAATGGGGGAGACCCGTCACGCACAGCCCAGACCCCAAACCCTAAACCCTAAACCCTAAACCCCAAACCCTGAACTCTGAACCCCAAACCTTAGACCCTAAACCCTAAACCCTAAACCCTAAACCCTGAACCCTGAACCCTAAGCCCTAAGCCCTGAACCCTGAACCCTTTTTTTGGATCCAAGGCCTCCACCAGCTCTCCTGTCGCCCTGGGCGCCGCCACCGCCGCAGTCGCCGGCCTCGTCGGCTTCGCGGGAAGCCGCAAGCAGCGTTCCGTGCGCAGCCAGGTTGGGTTTTGGGTTTAGGGTTTAGGGTTGAGGGTTTAGGGTTTAGGGTTTAGGGTTTTAGGGTTTAGGGTTTAGGGTTTAGGGTTTAGGGGCCTAAATAGTTGGGTAGTTCTCCAAATTAGGGTCCCTTTGGGGATCCTGTTTATAAGGGTGCCGTACTATATTTGGGACCTAAAAGGGACCGAAATTTAAAGAGTTACTACCAATGTTCGGCTAAGGGCTCCTTATGACAATTATACTATAAAGGAGCCCCAAACCCGATTCTAATTATTTTAAGGACTCCCTAAACCATAAACCCTAAACCCTAAACCTCTTATACTACAGACCTGTTTGGGGCTTCGGGTTGAAGGGTTTAGGACCTCAGGAGTTCGAATTTAGGGTCTCTTCTTGAGGTATCATAGGCTTTTGGCGTGGTCTACAGAGTTTGGTTTCGAGACCTGTTGTTCATATTTGTTCATCAGAATCAGTTGTTTGTGAGGTTAGTCAACAGATTTAGGGTTAGTTGTTTGTGAGGTTAGTCAACAGATTTAGGGTTTAGGGTTTACCCTAAACCCCTGAACCCTAAACCCTAAACCCTAAACCCTAAACCCTAAACCCTAAACCCTAAACCCTAAACCCTAAATAAACCCTAAACCCTTTCGGATTCTGTCGTCTTTTTGCCTGAGGGGGAAGGGCTTCAGAGTTCAGGCTAAGGAGCTCACGATCATGTACCCTAAGGAGGAAACCAAATGTGTCGTAAGGTGGATCCAGAAAGCCCTGAACTTAAGCCGTAAACCCGAAGGGTCAGATAGCCAGAGTCTTCAAGATTTCTCTGAGTGAACAGTGGAGCAAGACGGGCTACAGCCAGGCAGGAAAACATCAAGAGCATCGGGTCATCGTCGTACAGCGTCGTGACAATGCCTTCATAGTACTAGGCACTGTCGTTGTTCTTTCTATTGGCCTCTGCCAGGCTTTCTCGTCGCTGCACCCTCAACCTTAAAGGTTTAGTCCTAAGCCCCCCCGCCTCAAGACCCCAAGCCCCAATATACATCCCCATCAGCAACCCCGCAAAACGCTTACTTGAGAACTGAAACTAAACCGCTAAACCCTCAGCCCCTAAAAACTCAACCCTAAAACCTTAAACCCTAAAAGCCCTAAGCCCCAAACCTCAGTGTGCAGGTGGCCCGCTGCCAGCAGGCGCCCAGCCAGACTGCCGTGGCCGAGCGGAAGGCAGGTAGGGAAACGGGCTTTACCCTCATGGGATATGGCATAAATGAGAACATCATTATAAGTGTCGGAATCCTTATTGTAATTATTGGATGAGGATCTTAGGATATGTTGTGCATTGTACTCCAGTTTTGGGATATATTGTAGTAGGGTTTTGGGATAGACTTTAGTAGGGGTATAGGATATATTGTTGTAGGGTTTCGGGAAATATTATGGTCGGGCTTCGAGATGTGTAATACTAGGGTTCGGGATATAGTACAGTAGGGTTTCGGGAATTGTTATGGGAGGGTTTTGGGATATATTGTAGTAGGGTCTTAGGATATATTGCAGTGGGGTCTTGGGATATATTGCAGTAGGGTTTGGGGATGTATTGTAGTAGGGTCTTGGGATATATTGCAGTGGGGTCTTGGGACATATTGCAGTAGGTTTTTTTGGGATATACTGTAGTAGGGTTTTGGGAGATGTTATAGTTTCATTATAATCAGGAGCCCTAGGGAAGACTTCTGGTACATGTTCAGGCCTATATATGAACAGGCTTCCGGGGGTCAAAAGGGTTCTGCAGGGCTCTCCAGGCTTCAAGAGGAAATTAAAGCGGTTCTACAGCTTCGTGAGGGGTTACGGTTTAGGGTTCAGGGTTTAGCGTTTACGGATGGGGTGAACGCATCAGGGACTTCGTAGAAACAGATAATATAGCAAGGCAACCAAACTCGAAAATCGTCTTCACACCCAGCCGTGGTATTTCCATGCTGCCTGTCACTAGCCATTAGCCCCACTGATGTTGAAACACGAGCGAGGAGCTTCAATGGTTGAGGGTTTAGGGTTTAGGGGGTCCCGTGAATGCTTGTGCTGTGTTTAGGCCCCTTGGCTTAAGTTCTAATCCAGCCGAAACCCTGAAGCCCTCATTATAGAACCCTCACCCTTACCAGCACCCCCGTTCAGGACCCTCAAAGAAACCCTCATCCCAAGCCCTAAATCCTAAGGCCCTTCTTATAGAACCCTGCCGGAGCCTTGTAAATTTTGTATAAAACCTTAAACCCTAAAATCTACACCCCAAAACCCGAAACCCCAAGACTCCTCCAGCAACCCTTGCAGTCCCCTTGAAGCCCTATGCCCTAAGCCCTAAAACCCTCAACCCTAAACCCTAAAATAAAACCCTCAAAACCCTAAACCCTCAACCCTCAAAACCCTAAAACCCCGCAACCCTTAAACCCTAAAACCCTAAACCCTAAACCCTCAACCCGCAACCCTAAACCCTAAACCCTAAACCCTCAAACCCCTAAACCCTAGAACCCTAAACCCTAAAACCCTCAACCCTCAAAACCCTAAACCCT